ATGGAGCTGAAAAATCGAGCTTCCCTCGACTCCTTGTTAGATGCGTGGGCCCTGGGCGAGTTTGCCCTCGGCGTGAGGGCGAGCACGTGGGCGTGGCCATCCGGAGGCGTGCGAAGGCAGGGGCAGGCCGGGAGATGCGGGGAGGCGGAGGCGGCGCGGGGAGGCCGGGGCCGCCGAGGGAAGCAGCTGGGGTCGCCGGGGCTGCCGGGGTCGCCGAGGGACGCCACTCGAAAGCCGCTGGTCGCAGGGCCGCTAGGCGCGAGCCACCGAGGTTGCTGTGTCCACCGGGCGTGGGGGCGGAGGTGCGAGCGGCTGGGAGATGCTGCCGGGCGTGGGGGCAGAGGATGTCGAGGCCGTGGGGGCGTGGGGGTGGAGGATGTCGGTGGCCCGTGGCCCGGCGCGGCCTCAAGTGCCTCGTGCGAGGTCCCGGAGGTAGAAGAGGAGACGCGAGGTCGCATACTTGAGTGCGGCGGACATTATAAACGAACATTTTTCTCAGACTGTTTTCATGTTTATCCATACTTTTCTATCACTTCATCATAAGAACGTCTTTAATGCCTTGTATATCGCCAAAAAGTTAAACTGTATCCAAAATGGCAGGCACAATGATCCCTATATTCTTGAGCTTTACTTTGACTCATTCAATGTCTCAGTCCCACAAATCCCCCACCTGATTCATAGCAAATGCCATCTGGGCCTTGTTTAGATTGCAAGTTTTTTCACTCTCTCTTCATCACATCAAATCTTTGAACACATGCATGGAGTATTAAATGTAGATAAAAAAATAATTAATTATACAGTTTGATTGTAAATTACGAGATGAATCTTTTGAGCCTAGTTAGGCCATAATTGAATAATAATTATCAAATACAAACAAAAGTGATACAGTGCCAAATATTGATCCATAACCCCAATCTAAACAAGGCCCTATTGGAAATGGTGTGCAGTTTCTCAACCGGCACTTGTCTTCAATCATGTTCCGCAACAGGGATTGCCTGGAGCCCCTGTTGGATTTCCTCCGTGGCCACCGGCACAAGGGGCATTTGAGATTTTCTCTAGACATAAAACTTTTTGGACAAAAATTGGTCTGATGTTATGTATGGTCTTGAACTGTTGATATTGAAGCTGTACATGTGTGGTTATAGGTTATGATGCTAAATGATAGAGTACAGAGCTTGGGGAGGCTTCAGTCTGCTGACCAAAGCTGAAGAGTGCTTGTCAAAGCTCGCAGCTGATACACCATCCTCACAATCTGCTTATAAGTAAGTTCTGATACTCTGATCTACAACATTGGGCTTATTGCTACTTCCTGTGGTAGTGTAAGGTAATAGTTTGGCATTTCTTTTGTTGCGTCTACTTTGGGGCTTGAGTTTCTGAATAAAGTATAAACCTTGCATTGCCTAGATGTGCACTGTTTTAGCTTTGCAGTTTGCAATTTAATTTCTCAAAGTTGATTAAAAAAGCTCTAGAATGAGTATGAAGAATACTTTGAAGAAGGTATTTAGTTGCCCTTTTTGTAAGCATTTTATGCTGGTCATATTGGCATGCCATTAATCTGGCTTTTCATAATCAATACACTAGAAAAATATATAGTTAGCTTTAACACATATATATTGTTTTTTCTTCTTTTAGTGACATTCAGATTTCAAGAATGGGGCCTGGAGAAAGGTTGGGGTGATACACAGCAGAACAGGTTTTGGAAATGATTCATCTCCTTCTAGACATTATTCAAGCGCCAGACCCATCTACCCTAGAGACATTCTTGGGGAGGATCCCCATGATTTTTATCGTTGTTGTGGTATCCCCTCGTGGATACTTCGGTCAATCTAATGTATTAGGCTTGCCAGACACAGAAGGACACGTAATTAGACCATGGGCTGAGATGTTCAGTCTTGAAACCAGCCATTTTCCTGATCATACACGTATCACAAGTCATGAGTTTACTTTGTTGCTGTCCAGATTGTCTATATACTGTCCGTGCATTAGAAAATGATATGGTTCTTCGTTTAAAGAAACAAGGACTTGATGTTTCCCCAAAGATTCTCATTGTAAGTGCATTTTTATTTTAATTCTTTAATTTTTAGCATCTGTTAGGATAGTATATTCTTTCGTGCTCTTGTATGCTGCTTCAGTTTTAACTCCTTACAGGAAACAGAAGAGCTTTTAATTACGGGTTTTGTTGTAGTACTTACTTTTTTATTATTTTACGATACATGCTAAGTGATTTATTAGTGTTATTTTTGCATTATGGGTTCTACCTTCAGTCTCTGGACCAACAAGAGGAAGCATTATCCAAGAGGCCGAGGATACTTACTTTGTGAGCTGTTTAAGATAACCAAATAGAAGAGTGCTCTACTCGCTAGCATTCACATACATCGATTTCTATTTTTTATCGCTACCAAAATTATTTTGTCTAATTTGAAATAATATATATATTTTTTGGTGTTTTCATCATAGCTGTTGATTTAAGGCCTAATATTGTTCTGAGTTACTTGTTAGTTAGTCTTAGAAATCATGTGCCGGTGCTAAATTGTAGTCAGGTTATTTATGCAAGAGCTGTGGTCTGCATATGTATATATATGTCATTTAAGCAAAAAGACAATATTGTACTAATTTATTTGTCTATTGATTTTGACTCGCTTTTTTCCTTATTTTTATTGAGCGGAAAAATTTTAGGCTCCTAGCCCACTATTATTATTTTTTATTCTTTTTACTTTATTCAAAATATGAGATTTCCGTAGGGCATCTGCTAGTGGAGTGGAGAAAGAGATTGCTAGTGTGGTGGGAGAGAGAGGATGAACACAATGGCACCTGGCACGTTGATTATTTAATCAACTAGCTTGTGGTGTGATTTGTTAATTCGATTCGATTTATATTTGCAGTCGTTAAAAAATAAAGCCATTGGTTGGGGTGCGCCAGTCGTTAAAAAATAAAAACCACCAATTTAAAATAACACCATCTATAAATAAAATGGTAAATCTGGTAGTCACAATATCAAATTTTTAACAAGCATTGGTTGGGGTGCGCCAGGCCCTGCCAGAAGTGCAACGGCTGGGCGACACGCGAGGGCCCCAGTGGCAAGCCACTGTGGTGGACCCTCCCCCACAAAAAATAAATTTAATATCGAAGTGGACACATGGCCCACATATCAGATATTAAACTGATAAGAACAGATACTACACTTGATCTTAGCCAAAAGGCCGAGAAAGGTATGCTTTGGTCTGCTGCCCTGGGTCTCCTTGTATAGCCGAGTCCCCGCCTCCGTGCTGCTTGGCTGGGCGAGGTGGGACTAAAGGGGATGAAGCTGCACGCACTGCGTGGTGCTTGCGAGTTGCGAGGGTGAGACTGCTGCGTCGGTCCAGTGCTATATGTTAATGGGCTGCGGCCCAGCGGGCGTTGCCGCCTTCTCTACTTATTAGTTAGGCCCGCTAGTATGTATAAAATGTAGGTGACTGGAATATTATATAAGGAGGCTGAAGTGAAAGCTCCGTTGGAGCGCATTGAAAGATGAATGTTGTAATTTGAATGAGGAGCTTTCATAGTGTCATTTAAGGGGATAGGAGGCCAAAATTTATGAGTTCGTTTGGAGTTGCTCTAAAACAAATGGTGAGGCTAGGAATTTCTAACTGTCTAATCTAATTAAACGAACGGTTTTCGGTTTATTTAGGAGTGGCGTAGCAAAGTTCACATTTCTTTGCATCCTCCGCCATGGCGACATTGGCAAAGACAAAATATGTTCTCTTCTTTTTTTTTCTTTGTATAGGACGACAAATGAGGAATGTTCTTGGCACCCCGATATGGGCAAAGCAAGGAGTGTACTCAGAGACAAAGCCAAAGAATCATTTTATTTTGGCCCTAATACTGAATCCTTAAAGCGTGTAAGTCCAACGGGCCCGTCTGCCGTAACAGCAGCTACTGACAAAAAGGACGGTAGTCACAAAGATCTCCCTGGACCCTGGGCACCGTTCGTCGTCGCCAAGGCAGGCCGAACTTCGCGAGCGGTGAGCGCACGGCGTCCCGTTGCATGATAGCACACACAGCACATCGGTTTCAACGAAGAAGCAGCAGCAGCAGCAGCCAAAAACGAAATCACCGTGGGAACTGCACGGCTGCTGCCGGCCTGCGGCCTGCCTGATCCCGGCGGTGCCGCCGGCCGAACCGCGCTCGTCCGACAGCTAGCTAGCCAACACATCGTCGTCATCGTCAGGAACGAGTGGCTACTGCACCGAGCTGCTGCTGCCGCTGCCCCAGGGTGGCATACTGGCATGTGCCAGCAAGACGCGGGCCAAAAGTGCTCCGGACCGGGCCAGTGAAGCAGTGACGTTGATGTGAGTGACTATTCCATTTCCAGCCACATGTCTCTCAGTGCCAGCCAGCAGGCAGTGTAAAGGACGTCCTCAAATTGCAGCCGCGTAGTACTTGTTGCTGCAGATATTCAGAGATCGAATGCTGCGGCAGGGTTTCAGAGACCAGCCTACTAACTGACAGGATTGCTCAGGAGTCGGGGGTCAGGACCAATGGACCATCCATGTGAACCAATGCAAGATTACAGATAAGTGATGAGAACATGCTGCACTGCACTTTGTTTCAGGAGAAAAAGAAATTCTCAGGTATGTTTATAAATATATTATGTATATGGTTGCTGTTTTTCTTTGTCAGGATTCAGGTACGAAACAAATGAAACAATCCCTTGCTCACTCGCGCGCGCGCGCACACACACACACACGCTCTACCTCAGGTTACCAAGGTGAAAAAAAAATACAATCTTAACCGTTCAGTAAATCTCACTAGTGACCACTGTAAATAAATAAATCTCTCAACAGACTAGGCGCCGTCTGTCTGTTCTACTGCCTGCCTCTCTTCTTGTTTGTGTGTCACAACCTCACCATTTCTTGGTTGCTTCTCATGTTGTGAGAGCCCCATTCTCCTATCGACAAAAAAAAAAAACCCAGACTAAATAAATAAAAAGTGATTAACGTGTGATGGCGTGTGATGATGAGCTACAAGTCCAGCTCGAAGTGGAACGCCGGCGACGCGTACGCGGCGAGGTCGCCAAAGAAGAGGGCCTCCACGTCGACGCCCGCGGTGTCCTCGCAGCCGAAGAACGTCTGTATGTCCTCGGGGAACCCGCGCTGATGCGGCGAGGCGTCCCTGGCCGCCGCCTGCACTGGCGGCTTCGGCGGCGATGGCGATGGCGACCGCCGCGGCGACGAGGACGACGACGTGGTGGTGGTGGTGCCGCTCTCGGCCGCCGACGTCCGCTGGATCATCTCCTTGAACTTGGGCGACTGCAGCAGCAGGCTGAGCGCCGACGTCGTGGGCGTGTGGCCCAGCGACGTCCTGGGCGGCAGCGGGAACGGCTCGGCGCCCTGGCCGTGGTGGTCGTGCTGGAACGCGGCGGCGCCGCCGTCGGTGGCGGTGTCCGCCGGCGGCAGCAGCAGCTGCTGCGCCAGGCCGCCCAGCATCGGGTGCGGGTTCTGCGCCGCCGCCGCGGCCATCCCGCCGGCGGCGCCCGGGCGGAGCCACTTGATGTAGCGGCTGAGGTCGAAGTTGGTGACGGCGTTGAGGCCCCGGTACTCGATCGCCGCCATGTCGTACGCCATCGCCGCCTCCTCCTGCGTCGCTGCCGTCGCGCACAACGAAAGGTCCACGCAACAGGTGATCGATCAGCACCAAAAGACGCGATTTTTCGCAGGGATTTGAAATCTACATATAATTTTTCGTACGAACTGAACAATCTTATATGAAATTCTGGTAAAATTGGTATAAAATTCCCTCGTTCCAACCAAAAAGTGAGTGCCCTGAACACGACGTGTCCGAGGGTTTGTGTAGAGGATTCGGCGCCGTGCAACTGCATTCGTGTGCTTGTGGCAGCGACAGACAGTTGAAGCACACACCCATCGTGTCCACCCTTCCTCTACCGGAGGCGGATGACAGTGTACTGCGTCTCCTCTTTATTCTTTATGAGTATTTAATTGCGCTAATCCCCCGTTGTAATGGATGTAGGCTCCGACAGGTGCAGAGCAGCAGCAGTGCAGGGGGGACCGTTGGAAGTTGGTGCGGCTGCTGCTGGCCCTGGCCGGGTCGACCTGACCTCACTGTCACTGAGGTCACTGCATCTAACTCCGCCAACTAACCGGAATTCAAGTTGCTGCCTGCCAGTGACCCAATTGGCCAAATGGCAATCGCCTCCTGCATCAGCCACTGCCGCTCGCCCCAACTGCTTCCATCTCCATCCAGACCATTCCCAAGCTTCGTGATCATGGACTAAGTAGTTATTAGTGGAGTACTACACCGTACTAGTATTTCATATTTAAATCGCCGGGACAAGGTCACAGTTTCTTCTGAAGAGGGTATCTCTATGTTTTTTTAATAGAGCATTATGCATAAGACATACTAAGGCCCAGTTTATATCCGAAAATTTTGGCAAAATGCAACTGTAGCGTTTTTCGTTGTTATTTGGCAATTAGTGTCCAATCATAATCTAATTAGGCTTAAAAGATTCGTCTCGTGGATTTCGTCTAAACTGTGTAATTAGTTTTATTTTTTATTTATATTTAATGCTTCATGCATGCGTCCAAAGATTCGATGTGACAAGAAATCTTGAAAAATTTGACGTTTTGGAGGGGAACTAAACAGGCCCTAAGAGCTAGTAAATGGCTAACTGAGGCATTACAGTCAGTCAGTGGATGCAAGAATTAGTTGGGAATGAAATCATGCGGTCAGTCAATCCGTACCCGGTCGATATGTCATATGTGAGGGCACATGCGTCACAAGGGGGAAGGGGCCACTCATACTGTACGAGTGTAGCCCTGCACGCGAACGACTTGCACTTTATTACTACTCAGATTTGGCTTTCAGAGTTCAGACATACTACGCGTACGGAAGCACAATTTGTAGCGCAAACTAACGTAGTTCTCCTACTGTTTTTATAATAATAATAAGGCTATCATGGATTCGCGGTTAACTTTTGCTGTATTTTCAGGAAGAGAAATTACTATTAGGCTTCGTTCGCGTGCCCTTAAACCCGTCTTAATCCGCTTCTTTTTTCATCCGGAACAGTGTTTTTCTCTCACAAATTCCTTCAGCATTACTCCAAACTATCCAAATTCCTCCATAATTCCTCCAAGGGAAGAGGCTCTTGGTATTTTTACAAGGCACAGAACTTACCGTAAGTCCCGAGGTAGAGATACTTGTTTCCGAACACGCGACCGATCCTCGCCTCCCATCTCCCGTTGTGGTGATGTCTGCAAAGATTGACATGTACATACAGTAAATAAACAAGAGTTCATGCTATCTAAACTAATCTTTCTCCAGTCCAGCCACATAGTTTAGGTCTCCTCTTCACAAAAGTCAAAAGATGTTGAAAGGCATAAATAAGATGCTACATACCTCGCGACACCTCGGTATTTGGAGACGCCTCTGGAGAACCCACTGCTTTTCCTGTGGATAAATTTCATGGACCTGATTATTTGGTTAAGAATGGGTGTGACTCTGTCTTGTTCAAAAATTTCCATGGAATTATAATATTTCATTTAATAAAAAATGTCGCCACTGAGTTTTTTGGGGGTGAAATTAAAGAGTTACCTCCTCAAGGATCCAATATACTCTTCCCTGGACTGCCCCTCCATTCCTTTCATTTCTCCTTCATATGCAGACGCCTACAAAAATAATAAGTATTCAGAAATTAAGTAAGCCCGTAAGGAAAAAAAATTCAACTCCCTCCTCATGCAGGTGCAACATGTGCGTGGAGTGCAAAAGGAAAAAAAAAGATACAATCTCGCTTATAAGTCATGTCTTATCAGCCAACGAACAGTAATTTTTCTCTCATACCAAACCAGCCAACAGTACTTTTAACCATGGCTTATAAGCTAAATCAGCCGTCAGGAGTTGCAAAAAGAATATGTACTGCAAACTCTGAAACTCTCTGCACTCCGCAGAGCTATCAAATTCTAAAAGTCTGCAGAAACAAACACAACGTAGGTTTTTGCAGGAATTGACTGATATTCTAGACGCACTGCACGCCCATGACCGAGGCCTTGTTTAGATTGAAAGTTTTTTGAACCTGATGAATAGTACCACTTTCGTCTTATTTGGTAAATATTGTCCCATCGTGGATCAACCAGTGGCGGAGCCAGGGGGGGCTGGCAGGGGCCATGCCCCCCCCCCCCCAATATTTCACAACAAAAAAATTTAGTAGTATGACTTAATATTTTTTATTTATATTAAGAGAAAGATTATATAAAATTTTTGTCATATATACCTATTAATATCTTCTAGATAATATAATCATATAAAACACAACTTTGCTTGTCATAAGGAACCTAACGAGTTGAGTTGCACTTAATTTTTACATGTTGGCTCTTTTGGCTGGCCCCCCCTGAATATAATTCCTGACGGCCGGCCCCTCCTGAGCATAATTCCTGGCTCCGCCACTGGGATCAACTAGGCTCAAAAGATTCATCTCGTGATTTTCAACTAAACTGTGTAATTAGTTATTTTTTTTACCTATATTTAATACTCCATGCAAGCGGCTAAAAATTGATGTAATGGAGAGAGAGTGAAAAAACTTAGAATTTGGAAGTGATCTAAACAAGGCCCGAATTGAAAATTTTCAGCAGGAAATGTCAGACAGCCTGTTTGTTTCGGCTGAAACGATCGTGGGTTATAAGCCAGAAGTACTGTTGACTGGTTTAATGTGAGTAAAAAATACTGTTCTAACTTATAATCCACGATTGTATAAGCTGAGAATCGGTGAGCGAGGAAGTTTGCCGTGTGTGTGGTGGGGTGGATGAATGACAGAATGAATGGATGAGTGAATTTTGGCGGTACCGGGAAGTTGAGGATGGTGTCGGGGCCCCAGTACTTCAATGCCGCCAAGTCATACGCCCGCGCCGCTGCCTCCTCGTCGTCGTACGCGCCTGCATGACCATGATGAGCAACACGCCACGCCATTGATACATACAGTAAGTACCAGCGAATTTTTCTTTTTCTTTTTCTGAGAGAGAGAGAGAGAGAGAGGAGAGAGTGGAGTGGGAGCTCCTCCTCTCTCATGCATGTCATGCCAAGGCCGTGACTCGAGAGCCTCACTCACCGAGGTAAACTGCATGCACCAACAACAAAAGAGAGCAGCAAGAACAAGATGGTCAGCGTCATATCGATCCTCTTCTGAATCAATCACTTACTAGTATAATCAAATAGTCATGCGGGGCAATTAACTAAGGTTCTTACTGGCAAGGATCAGTTAAAACCATGTTAAAAATATTACTAGTACATGCTGCTGCTACTACTATCATATGCTCTACACATCAGCTTTTTAATATGTCTTCTTGCGAGTAGGATCGGACAGAGCATCGTGATCCTCTGCCCGGGGACCCCCAGCAGAGAGAAAGAGAGAGGATTAGCTATACTGACCTTGCTTGCCCTTCTTGTTCTGGGACTCGTTCCAGCTGTTCTTGTCCCACAGGTGAGCCTCGAACCTCCCCGTCCACCGGTGCCTGCAGCACGCACGCACGCCAGCGATTCAATTCGCCGGAGAATTGAATTAACGAGAAGCAGCAGGCCGACCGAGTGAGCTCGCTCTGATCAGTGACCGACGCGCGCGTTTCGGCAGCTAGCTGCTGCTGGTTGGCCATGGCTATACAATACAAACCGTGTGACGCCGCGGTAGACGGAGCTGCGCTGCGTGGGGGACTCCCGGGGCACGCTCTTCCGAGTGCGCTTCGGCTTCGCGCGCGGCGTGACGACGTCTCCGGCGCCGTTGCTGCCGGTGTTGTTGTTGGCGGCGGCGGCGCTGTTCTTGCGAGGCTTCGCCATTATATTGCGCGTGCGTAGAGAGAGAGAGAGAGAAAGAGATGGAGGAGAAGGGAGAGGTGGGTGGCCAACTATGGTGGCCTCCGGAGGTGGCCGTTTTAAAAGAAGCGCAGGGGGAGAGACTGCGCTGGGAGCGGATTGGTGATGGGGCGGCAAAATTAGTTGATGTTTGGAGAGCAGGGCAGATGCCAAATGAGCAGAGGAGGAAGGAAGAGAGACGGGAGAGACAGGCCGGCCTTTCTCTCTCTTTTTCTCTCTCTCAAAATTCTTTGCTCTGCTCCATCTCATTGGCCGGCGAAGAACGGCCACTTATTGTCCCCTAGCGAGCTGGCGAGCTGCGTGCAAACTGTGAGCGGGCGCCCAGCGGGCTGGCACCCGTAACGCGAACAAAGCCCCACGGCACAGGGGTGCAGCAGGCCAGCAGCCACGGCCTCGTGTATCGGGTCCCGCCCACAGCCGCTGTCGCGGATGCGAGATCGGAGATCCAATGGTAACAGTCGCACACCTCTGCTCACCAGAAAGTTAATCCTTTTCGGTCACACAACAGTACAACACAACCTGCTTCAGAGCTTCAGAAATCGATAATTAAGAAAATTCCGGCAAACGTCTCACGAGAATCGATGGTTCTTTCCTCCGCCAGAAATTTGGCTGAATTGGTCCCGTTCGGCTTGCTGAAACTTTACTGAAATTGACTGAAAAACACTGTTTTGGTTGAATTATTGTGAGAGAAAAACATTGTTCCGGCTAAAAAAACAAACTGAATAGTACGGATTATAAGGTAAGCCGAACGGGGCCTCACTGCGAGATTGAACTGGCCCTTGTGTTTTTCGTGCTGCTGTTGCCATACCGTACCGCCATGTGGTGGTCAAGCTAAGGTCCCAAACACAACCTAGGGTAGATTCCTCGCCACAGCTCGTCTCGTCTAGCCGAGCAAAATTCACTGAGTTTATATCACCACCTCGTTATTCATGCTTTCAAGATTTCTCCTTACTCGCTCGAGCGAGCCAATGCAATTCAGTTTGCCTCTGCTAGCCTTGCCAAGCAAGGCAACATGACGAGATAAAACAAGCATGTCCTTAGTTGCTTCGCTGGACACTATATTGCTTAATTGAGTGAGATTGTTTAATTGAGCAAGGATACAGAGCATATATGTGTGTGTTTAGATGTGTTGCCTTGCGATGTGTGGGCTAGCTTTATCTTGCTTCCGTGAGCAAACCGAATTGGCTCTTCTGGATGGGCAAGATTTTCGTTTGTATTCTACTTTTCCCTCCTTTTACCTCTACCTAATTCAATTGAGCTCTAGCAACATCTCATAGGTTAAGACGGGCTTCGAATTTAATATTACGGTTTTCTCTATGCTGGTTAGGGCTATGATCCTATATGGGATTTACGACATATTTGGTTGATACCTAATTTTGTCACAACTAAAGTTAGACCAAATGTGGTAGTCAAGAAAAGTGTGGCCAACAAATCGGGTATAAAGTTTGCTATCAAAATAACTCTATGATATATAAGACATATATGGCTAAAAGGGTTTGGTGTGCTATAATAAAAGTGTAAATCAAAACATATCTAAATAACTATGACAACGCGACTAACTTGTGGCATGACCGTACGTGAACCGGAACAAAATAATGCACACCTCGCTACCAAGTTCAAAAAGACATGGCCAGAGGCCAGCTTCGTAGTGGTGATGTGATGGCCATGGGAGCTGATGCGAGGCATCGGAGCTAGCCTGCTTGCATCCTGCCAGAAGAGACGACGACGGCCATGGGAGCCAAATAACACTTAGTCAAACTTCACTAGGATTAATATCTCGTCAGCTTTTTTCATTAATTCTGGTGCAGCATACGAGGGAAATCTTTTTAAAAAGATAATGGAAAGATATATCTGGCTTCATATTTATTAAAGATAAGTCACACCAATCTAATATAACTTAACACTACCACATTTCTAAGTACTCTTCAGCTGCAACAGTGAAGAACCATGTTCCACTTGATACAAGGTAAAAGGACGTGTTTGATAATCAGATGTGAACCTAGGCCTAGGGCCACTAGGGCCATCACTAGGGTGGCAGATGAAGAGGCAGGGGTGGGCGGCGGATGGAGAGCTAGGGGCGGGCGGCAGGATGGAGAGTTGGGGGTGGCGGGGGATAAGCTTTGAAGTTGGACTTTTTGGCTTTGTGTTTGGGTCGGACTATGCTGAATGATGGGCCAACAGAAAAAAAAGAGTGTGGGCCATTTCCTCCTTGGCGCCAACGCCAAACAAAGCGCGTGGCCTATGGTTCTGTAGGCGCGAACATGAACTTAGCCTACCAAAAACGTATAATAGTGGTGCTTGCAATACATATTTCCTAGCGAGAACTACTATTTTCACGAGAGTTTATGATAACCCTCATGCTAATACGATTTTTTATGGTGGTTTGTGCAACACCTTCACGAAATAACAAATTTTCAGAGGCAGTTTGCAAAGCACCCTCGTGAAAACATGTTTCCATTGTGGGATTTACATCCCCCTCATGAAAAAAGATTAATTTTATGAAAGTGTGTTTTTAACTCCCACGAAAAACTGCCCCTCTTATAAAATCTCCGTTTTCTGGTAGGGCGTGGCCCTAGTCATGACCTAGGTAGCCCATGTATACTCTAGTAACTTTTAGTCCAGTTCATAGTTTATGGCATGTTCGTTTGAATTTATCAGCCGGCTTATCAGCTAGAATCTATGATATTTTTCTCTCACAACAAAACAGAAGCCGACTTTAATATCAGCCGAACAAGCCCTTAGTCTAGTGTGAAAACCAACCAGCAAACACACATTGTAGGCGGAATTTATGATGGAATTGATCAACCCCCAACAACAACGACCGTCGGAAGTCACGTTCCGACCCTCTACCTCAAATCCGGTACATTCCCCAGTTATGATGCCGCAACGGCAACCCGTGATGCCCCATATTGATACCGATGTCCGTACACATCCACCATCAAACATGAAGCTCAACGACTCCACAATATCCAATTACAAAAGCATGTTCCCAGGCAGAGGCAGGCATGTTAACCTGTTGATTGGACACGAACCTGTACCTAGTAAACACTCGTCCAGGACCGGTGCCATGATTACGACTGCAACGGCGTACCGTACTTGCAAGATCGTTTGGCGTGACTTTGGTCGCTGCGAGTGTTTTAGCTTGTCTGTACGACTGTACCACGAAAGACAGCAAGCTGCAGGGTCCGAGCGATGTTTTGGTAAACCTCCTCTTCTCCTATTGCTTCTGGTTCTCCCTGGAAAATTTCTGATTCTCCTATTGCTTCTTGCTTCTGGTTCTCCCTCAGCGCTGGATGTTGGTGAAACAATCACACAAACATCGAATTTGAACACAAGTGTAAAATTGTATTCATTTCCTCGTGCTTCAGTGCATGTCAGAGGGGGTATTTATAGAGGTCCTAGCCTTCGTAACTTGTGTACAAATGACTATTTTGCCCCTCTTTTTTATTCAATACAACCCCTTTAAACTACAGGGGTGATGTTGTCTTTTTACTCTTCGAGACTTCGTTATTCATGTCATCTTGTCAATCTTCAAAGTTGCTTTCATCAAGGATGTCTTCGCATCCTCCAACTTGAGAGTTCTTGTATTGAATCTTATTGACTTTGCGCGTTGAGCGAAGTCTAAAATCTATCTTCGCTCTTGGATCTCTTCGCCACTTTTGCTTATTTCGAGCTTAGTAAAAAATTCTCCTTCGCTCTTGAATCCTGCGAGCAAACTTTGACATAAAATTTTGGCGGTCAACTCCAAAGTTTTGGGGCTGTGTTTTCTGGCGAAGTCAAATCTCCAACACTGATGTTTGGCAAGGCTGAATAAAGAGTAGAAATAAACGTGGCATGTTGTTAAATGGCATAGGGAATTTCAGAACAGCGGCATGCAGTATGTAGAGATGATGCGACTGAATGGTCTGAGGGAAACAACACAAAAGATTTGGAGGAATGGTGTAGTGTAAGAGAGTAGACCAAGAAAAGGGGAAAATGCAGCTGACTTCTCTAAATTTGAGGTTCATGCTCATGTTTCATCTCCCTGTGGAATTGGGGTTAGGAATGGCATCCCAGAAGCATTCCTTATGGAAAAATAATTCTAATGATTCAGATACTCTAAAGTTCCTCTTCTCCGAAGGAGCACTTATCATTTACAAATGCATAAATGCTTAGGTGCATCAAAATAGCATACATGCGAAAGCTGAGCACAGTAGATAATTCCCACAAAACCCCTCGTATTCCTAGAGCTAGAGCTAATCTCCAAGCCAAACACCTCCCCTTCCGTACTCCAACTCCATTGTGAAGCTACTCTGAAGAAGACCTGGAGTTGAGCAGTCCCACATGGCCTTAGATAACATAGAACTTGACCAAGTTATCAAAGATCTGATGACAGTACATCAAAGCGTAATGAATACAGTGAGCCGTACTCATTCTGTCCAACTGCTGCGTTCATTACCTTGTCGATTGCCAGCTGGACATAAAAATGTACAAGATATCTATTTTTTTTCTTGTCCTTACTCTCTAAAGAAGACTTTCTAATGCGAGGATCCCTGCCACTGATTTTGTAGATGGATAATTCCGCATGCCTACACCTGATTTTCAGTTCAGGACCGCAATGGCAACTTGGGGGAAACAGAACTTGAAGCCTACCTGTGCTTTAAACCAACCTGATAGTGAGTCGTACGACGCCCCAGCAGCTCCGGGGACCAACCAGGTTCACCATGCGTCGCTCATCATGCACCAAATGGACTAGTGATGTCTGTTATTGTTGGACTGGACAGAGTAAACCAGTACCACACGCAAACCCAACTCTGCACCATTATTTTGCCAAGTGCTAACACAAATTCCGACAACGCCTCAAGATTCCCTAATCGACAAGCAATTGGATCCCATTCGTGTATTTGAATTGTGAGCTAATGGACCGTGCAAAGGGCTATCTGGTGCATGACAAAGTTTCCCAATGTGGACGTCATTTTCATCCA